AGGTCGGTGGTCTGTCTCCAATTAAAAACTACGTCCATATAGGTACATGTGAAAGTGTTCACATCCGAATACGATTGCTAATCCTTCTTTCTCTATGTGACCATACTTCTGTTCGACATCTGTTAGCGATCTGCTACCGTACGCGATTGGTCGATAATTGTCGTCGGCTTGTTTCTGGAGAAGTACGCCACCCAGTGCCCATGGCGATGCATCTACTACGACTTTGGTTTCCGCAGTAAGATTGTAATGAGCTAATACCGGTGAAGTGGTGATGGCATTCTTCAGTGACTGGAATGCTTTCTCGTGACTGTGATCCCAGTGAAACGTGACATTCTTCTTTGTGAGCTGTCGAAGTGGGAAGGTTAGGCTGCTGTAGTCGGGTATATATCTCGAACAATAATTGGTGAGGCCTAAGAAGGATCTGACTTCCGATGCTGTGGTAGGATGTGGAGCATTTGTTATGGCTTCGACTTTGGTGCTATCTGGTCTGATTCCTTTCTCGGACACGATATGACCAAACACGTTTATCTGCGGTACTGCGAACGAACACTTTGGTAGTTTGAGTGTGATGCCATTGGTTCTCAGGATTGTGAGGAGCTGGTCTAGCCGCTTGAGGTGTGTTTCTCTGTCTTTGGACCATAGCCAAATGTTATCAGAGATGTTGGCACAATCTGGTACCTCTTTGATGAGCTCGTGGATAATCTCATGAAAGTGTTCTCCAGATGGTGATGCTCCCATTATCAGCCTGGTGAATCTATGCGGACCATCTTCAGGAGTTGAAAATGCTGTAATATGACGGGATTCCTCTGCCAAGGTCAGTTGAAGATAACCTTGCGACAGGTCAACCTCTGTAAAGACTTTTGCTCCCTCCATCTTTTGAAGTATCTCGTTGACTGTAGGAATTTGTACGCGCCGTCTTACAAGTGCTGTGTTAGGTATACGCATGTCTAACACTAGTCGGAGGTCCCCACTCTTCTTTGGGATGGCTATCAACGGTGATAACCAAGGCGTTGCTCCCTCAACTTTCTCGATTATCCCTTCTTCTCTCATCTCCTGCAGCTTTTTGTTTACTTTGGTTTTCATGCTGTGTGGAATTTTCCGATTTGTTTGTGCGACTGGGGTTATTGTTGGGTCAATTTCGAGCTTCACTTCACGTCCCTTGAGGTTTCCCGTTCCTTCAAATAGCTTTGGATGTTTGTTGATAATGCGACGTACATCATGATCTTGTTGAACCGGGTTGAGGGTGTTGATGTTGAGGATGATAAGTCCCAATGAGGAAGATGATTCATATCCAAGAATACCTTAGATTTCTTTTGTGCTACATAAAACTTAGCAATTTTGAATGTACCTGATGCTGAGGTGATGGTAGCTTGAAATTCTCCGGCTAACTCGAGTGGTGTTGGTGTTCCATATGCAAAGATTCTGGCATTGGTCTTTTGTAACTTGATACGGTTGTCGTCTTTCTGAATTTGTTGAAAAATTGGGTAGTTCAGAAGGTTAACAGAGGCTCCGGAATCAATCAGAATGTTTACTTTAGTGTGTCCAATCTGTACTTGCGTTTCTGGATGTTTACCCGAGCTTGTGTTGACAGTAAAAAGAAATTCATCGTCCGATTCTTGAAGATAATCACGACTTTTCTCTTGGTTGACATGTCTGACATTTCCACTGTCCTTAGATTGAGATCTGCAATATTTTGCAAAATGACCGATTTTCTTGCAGTTGTGGCAAGGTTTACCTCTAGCTGGGCAGGACTCTATTCCGTCTTTGTGCGGGAATTTACCTCCACAGTTACGACAGGTTTGGGACTTTCGACCGCTATCTGGAGCTTCTTTCTGGTATTTATTTCCTTGAAAACGCGAATCAGGCTTCTTGGGCGTCCTGTATCTGGAATTTGATCCACCGGAAGTTGGAAATTTTCGATGTTGTTTTGAATTCTTTTCGTTGTAATTATAATTTACTGTTTCGTTACTTTCGCTTTGGAATTTGCTGGCGTTATCGAGGCGTTTAGACTGTTCATCTGTACGTTCTAAGGTATTCCCGTAGTCGAGAATTTGTTTGAGAGTCATCGTCTCACGAAGCGCTTTCTTTCTTAACCGGGAATCGCGGGTTTTGTGAATAATTTGGGTTTTAATCTCGGCTTCCTCGCTGTGAAAATTACATTGTACTGCTTTTGTCTTCAGTCGACGGTAGTATTCGTTGAGCGTTTCGTTGGATCCTTGCTTTAGCTCTCGAAAATCGAATATAGCCATGTCTGTATTTCCTTGTGACACGAAGTGTTGGGTGAAACAATCGATCGCTTCTTGATAAGTTGTGCCAGTGTCGGGGAGAATATCGAAAATGTCGTTGGCTGACTCGCCTACATAGGTTAACAATAAACCTCTCCTAACGGTTGAATCAAACTCACGAAGACTTATAAGCAAGTTTTCGAAACGACGAACCCATTTAGTCCATCTTTGACCCACTGTTGCTGTATCTTGGTGTGGATTAAAGGGAGGAAACGGCGGTAAACCACTGCGTGGAACTTGCGATGTTGTTGTCGCGTTTGTAGCGTTTGACGTTGTTGATGATGATGCGTTTTCAGCATTGATATCTTGACCTTCGGTATCCATAATATAGTTTTAGGGTTTTTAGGACCTCGTCGCCACTTTTATATCCTCTGTTATTCAACTTTTATAACATATATTTACTCTGCTATATTATACATCTATACTTGCTCTCTGGCTTAGCGTCTCCTAATCTAATGTCTCGTGACCTAATCTTATATGTCAATCACTTCAGCTGACCAATCAGCATTTGGATACAACAGTTTCCCCACTTCAGCTCGCGGAATTCCAACAGGAACTGGTTCAACACCCGGATCAGATCAAGGCACACTACGTTCTTGATGGCATCGAACATGAGTTTTCGTCTGGTTTTGATCCGTCTCGAATGATTTTGCAATCTTCTCTCCGCAACATGAAATCTGCCGCTGAGCACACGGACGTTATTGATGCGTATCTGCCTAACGAAGTTGCCAAAGGTCGCGTGGCCGACCCGTTCGCGGCTCCACCGTTTCCCAATCTTCAGTGTAGTCCGTTTGGTGTGATTCCCAATCCCAATAAATGGCGCCTTATCCTGGACTTGTCTTCTCCGAATCAGCACAGCGTTAATGACGGCGTCCCCAAAGACTTTTTCTCCCTTCAATATATCTCCGTCGATGACGTAATTCGGATTTTGATGCATTTGGGACCGGGAGGCTGTCATGGCTACATTCGATGTGGAGAGCGTGTACCGTCGTAACATCGCGATGCGCCCAGATGAACGCTATTTGTTTGGCATGCGGTGGCGGAATACTTTCTTCGTGGATTTGGCACTTCCGTTTGGCTTGCGGTCTGCTCCGTTCATCTTCAATTCTATCGCCGAGATGGTCGAGTGGATTCTCAAGTTCAATAATATTACCTCGTCAAGTACCTCCTGCACTATCTCGACGATTTTCTATCTCTCGCTCCCGCGGGTTCGTCCAAATGTGCTGACAGCGTCGTCATCGCCCGATCTGTTTTTCTCGGTTGGGGCTGCCCCTTCATCCTTGAAAGTGCGAAGGTCCGACCACAGTGTTAATCTTTCTGGGAGTCGAACTCAATTCCATCACTCAAACGGCACGTTTACCACAAGAAAAATTGGTGGCCACAATGCAGCTTCTCCGCAATTGGGCTCGCAAGAAATGGTGTACGCGTAAAGAATTGGAATCCTTAACTGGCTCCCTCCACCATGTCACTAAGGTTGTTCCACCCGGCCGCACGTTTCTGCGCCGCATGATCGACCTGTTGTGCGCCTTTCGTTCACCATCACACCCAATTCGTCTGAATCTGGAATTCCGTCGCGACTTGGCTTGGAGGTTGGACTTTCTGCAATCCTGGAATGGGGTCAGTTTCTTCCGTATCCCCTCGGTTTGTTCTTTTCCCGACTTGTTTGTCGCGTCTGCCTCCAGCTTGAAGAAGTTCTGGTCGTTTTGTGCTTTATTCCCTGACTTGTTTCCTTCATCCCCAATTCCTGCCTCCGAATAATTATCAACTAATGATGTTTGTTTCTTGGTTAGCACGGTCTCTCTCACCTGCCAGCGTCGCGGTTTATTTAGCCGCCGTTCGCTCGTACCATATAGACTGGGGTTTCAGCGATCCAACGGAAAACAAACCGCGCGTCTCCGCCGTGTTCTGCAGGGCATCCGCAGTTCTCGCCCGGGTTCCAGTATCCCTCGTCGTCCTATTACTCGGGAAATCTTGTGCTCTATTCATCACATTCTCTCCGTTACCGATAACGGTTTCGACTCGGTCATGTTTTGATCGGCGTGCTCATTATCGTTTTTTGGCTTTTTGCGCGTGAGCGAATTTACGTCGTCACCTCCCTTTGATCCCTTTCGTCATCTTTCACCGGCCGATGTCCAATTTCTTCCTGGCCAACCATCTCCGGGTCTTCGTGTCAACATTAAGATCTCAAAAACCGATCCTCTGGGAGCCGGCCATTTGCTGTACATTGGTGTCGCTGGGAATAGTTTATGTCCAGTATCGGCGCTTCGCACGTATCTCGCTCTTCGTGGTTCGACCGCTGGCCCTTTGTTTGTTTGGGTGGATTGCAGTCTCCTTACCGCCGCTCATGTGAACTGTCATTTGCACGAAATTCTATCCCGGGCTGGCGTCTCGGGGCAGTTTTCTTCTCATAGTTTTCGCATTGGGGCTGCGACGTCCGCGGCTGCCGCTGGTATTCCTGATCACCTGATTCAAACGTTGGGGCGTTGGACGAGTCAGGCCTACCTCAGATACATTCGTACCGCACCGGACATGTTTTTAAGTATTGCCCCGCTGCTGTAGGGTTGAAGACATCTGGAGGAGGTTAACAGTAACCTTCTCCAACCCCTCGACAGGCGTTGGAGATATGTGGAGAGGGTACCGTTTAGGTTCCAGATGTGGTGGTGCTAGACATGACCAGGAATAAGCTTGAACGATGTTCGCATTACTGGAGCCTAGCATGATCGCTTCGCCAAAAGCTCGTTCGCATTCGCCAAGCTCGTTCGCTTCGCCGTGCTACCGTCTCCATCCCTACCGATCGGCAACGGGCAATACTAATCTTTAATCTTTAATAAAATTTCTTTTAACACGGTAGCCTATTCAGTATAATATATACATTCTGTTTTTCAGTTTTACAGTCCGTGCTATATAGTATCAAACACACATTAACTATGGATATTTACAGTTAATTACAGCACATAATTATTACACACTCCATTAATTTCGGAAATGCATTATACATTATTCATGTGCAAGCTTAAGGGTTAAACGCCGTTTGAAATCGGGTAAAGATAAATCCTGAATGTTATTAGTTACTTCATCCGATAATTCGTTCCAACCTTGTGCTGCTCTATAAGAGAAACTTCTTTTAAGAAAGTTAGTTCTTGATTTAGGCAAAGATAGTTTAACATTATTGCTTGTTAGAGAAGGGTCTAGCTATTTTGCGGGCCGCGGGCTGCGGGTCAATTTTTGCGGGCTGCGGGTCAATTTTTGCGGGCCGCGGGCCAAATTGCTGGCCTAACTAATTTTTTGTGTTGCATGCCATATATGGCATGCAACTTTCATATAGCTCTAAATTTCGTGTCGCGGTGAGCGGCGGTGAGCGTACCGGTCACGTGGAAATTCGTAAAATACGACAAATACCGAGTTTTTCCGACGAGCAATTCATCACTCATGCTCGAGGAAAGGCAAAGAAAAATGTTTGAGTGTTCGCGGAAAATTTACATAATTGAGCGCCTTTAAAAATAGATCAAGGTAGATAAAGCTTTGCTGGTTTTAATTTTCCTTATATTCTGTTATTTGTTGTGATTCTGGAGCAGTTGTGCTCGCAATAAAATATTAATCATAAAATGAATGATTATTTATCAGTCGTTTTTACTAATATTTATATCGTGAAGCCTGGCTACGCTATCAAAATACTCAATTTTTTATATATGCTCAATATATACTATATTGTGTGCAAAACTTCAAAACTACAGTACATTTCGTAAATAACATGAAATATATTAAAATATCAAACAAAATTCTCATTATACTATTGAAACTTAATACAACGAAATAGTATTCTACGTCGATAATTTCAATCATAGTTTAATAATTATTTTCAATCTATAGTAATTCGCCGTTTCCATGTTTTTTTTTATACTTTCGATAAAGCTACAATAAAGCTAAATTTGTAGGAAATAACATTATTTAGTTATAAAATAATATAAAAGGAAATCTAACAGTCAATCGCTTTCGATAAACCTTGACCTTGTTTATATTACCGTCGTTTGCAACTAACGATGAACAGTCGCTCATAAAAAACATTGCCTATTCGCGTGAGAATCTTAAGTTTTCTTATTTTGACATAATAGCTATTTTTCAATAAATATATTGATATAAAACTTATTGAATCATTATTTTAAGTTTCAGGCCAGTTGTACCAAAAG